AAAATTATTTCTTTTCTTTTTGTTTTGTTAAAGGTTATGGTAAGACCAAAGTTTCGTTGCGCTTGCCTTCCCCTTTTTTGTTTTGTCTTCTCACATTCGTCACTCTGTGAAATGTCACGAATGATAACAAATTGCCGTGTACCACAAAGAGCCATTGGCAAAACAAACCAATGCATGGCCCGTAATTATTATCGCCTTACTCAGGACCGCCGGATGCAGCGTTTGAGTGGTCCGGTAGTATCATGGCCGTTATACTTTTGTGTAGGGTATGACGGGTACACCTGCCCTCCACAGTAGGAAACACGTGTTCGTGGCTGAAAAGTTGGTCCGGTAATAACCTGACCAGCTCCGGCGGCCTGTTATTAATCGCACATCACGGCAGTATGCTACAAGCACAATTGACAAACATGTCACCCGGCAACAGCAAACGGGTGCACGTTACAGGATTGGCCTGGCAACTTCAAACAGGCGCAGTTGACAAACATGGTGCTCCGCTGGGCAACGTCAGCGGGAATGCACCAATACAAACACAGCCCCGGCATCAGCAAACGGAAACGCCGGTACAAATATGGTGCCCCGGTAAACTCAACGGGAGCGCACTAATACAAGCTGGCCTGGTAGCTTCAAACAGGCACAACTGACAAACGTGGTGCTCCGCTCGGCAACTTCAACGTGAGTCCCCCAATACAAACACGGCCCCGGCAACAGCGAACGGGAAAGCTGTTATAAACATGGTGCCCGGAAAACTCAACGGGAACGCACCAATGCAAGCTGGCCTGGCAACTGTAAAGCGGCACAACTGACAAATGTGGTGCCCGGCTGGGCAACTTCAACGGGAATGCACCAATACAAACACGGCCCCGGCAACAGCAGACGGGAACGCCGTTTCAAACATGGTGCCCCGGCAAACTCAACGGGAACGCACCAATACAAGCTGGCCTGGCAACTTCAAACAGGCACAACTGACAAACGTGGTGCCCGGCTGGGCAACTTCAACGGGAATGCACCAATCATGTGACAAACACAGCCACGGCAACAGCAAACGGAATCGCCGTTACAAATATGGTGCCCCGGCAAACTCCACGGGAACGCACCAAGCTGGCCTAGCAAATGGGTACACTGTTACAACATCAGACCATCACATCAAGATGCCGCTGCGGCAACAATGTATATGTAGCAGCAATACAGCAGACATGTGATGTGGATGTGATTGGGACCGTTTGGCCCGCGTGCTACGCCCGAGGTGGTGGCAAGTAACACTGTCCTGATGTGAGGACTCCGAGTCGGCACTAGCATCTGAGCTCTGACTAGAGCTAGACTAGTCTAGAGACTAGAGTAGTGCTCACCCTCATCTGAGTCGGAGTATGCCGGTCTTTGACTGAGAACAGTCAGACTCACACTCGGAGGCACTGGCAACACTGCCAACAGTGTCCTCCGGACTCGTAGGCACTTAGGCCAAGCAGGTCGTGAGACCGTTCAGGCCGTTTAGGCCGGTAGTGCTCGTCACATTTAAGGACGCACTATGGTGCCGACAAGGTGCCGGGCTGGAGCCACCAGCCACTCGTGTCCTGGCTTCGCCAGAAACATCACACGACCCAAAGTCACGGCGTGACTCGCGTGGACGCAAAACACTCAAAGCACCCGGCCCATCTTGGGGTGTCATCACACGCCCGCATCCACGGCTCAGGGGGTTTCGACCGCATCGGCCGGCACGTGGGCAAGGCGGCGAGCCGCCTGATCATCGTCACGCAAAGACTCTAAAAGCTTCTCCATCGCCAAGAGTCTAAGACGGTGAGAGGAAAATATCCAAGGCACTTCTTGTTCGAGCATGAAAAAGGCCTGAAGGGCCTTGGATGAGCTGCATCAAGTACAGCTTCATTAGAATATTGAACTTTAAAAAATGCTGTGTTCGAGCATGAAATCGCGTAAATCGCGAGGGCTAGACATAGTTATATCTCACCGGAAACTCCGACATGCAATCTAAGATTCTTTACCGAAAGTTTATGTGTGCGTCTGTGCCTGTACTATACAGTGCTGGCAACTGAAATACGACCCCTGGGCGGTCTCTATTAATTTTCGTAGTGTTACCATCCTGTGTTGGGTCTTTGCGATGTGAGCGCACCGCTCAGGGGTCGGATTTCAGTTGCCAGCACTGTAGTGCTAGGACTGTACATGCACCATCATGACATTGACTTTGCGTGTTGTTGCCGGGATATGGTCGCAACCAGTGCAGGGTTTCGATCAGGGAGTCTTATTATACTCACTACTCGTAGACTTCAGGGTGCCCAGTCGAATGGTCTTGGGCCCAGGAAGCTGAGACGCTCCATTCCTCTATCGGTTCCCAATCGAACTCTCTACTTCCAGCAGTACAGTACCAAAATCCGCTTTCCACCGAAACTGGGTGACTGCGCCCTACTAACAGTTAGAAGGGGATTTGTAATTTTGTATGCAAAATGTCACTAAAAGTGCCATTTCGTTCTTATAAAGCACGGATGACTGAGATTGGCCCATGTGTTGTTGTCTTTTGGACACCGAGTCGACTGGTTTTGGTCCGAGAAGGCTGAAAAATCTCATATTCCAAAAAATCTCTATACTAGATTTTTCAGCCTTCTTGGACCAAAACCAGTCGACTCGGTGTCCAAAAGACAACAACACATGGGCCAATCAGTACTGTCGCCAGTGTCGGGCACCGAAGAACGGCCAGGCTAGAAATTCACAGTTTATAAGAACGGTGTAGGCTGGATTTATTGCAGATAAGAACGGAAACCGTAATCTACACTATAATGTACACTCAGACGTATAACTCTGCATAAATGTACATGTAATACTGTACCATCGAATTATGAACGAAACTGCTGTGTTCGCTAAAAATAAGAACGGGCTAGGCTAGAAAACCCTGACCCCTGACCCCCTCCCTCAGTTCTTCAGCTCCTGACAGTACTGTAGTCAGGAGCACAATAGTAGTACAATCATGTTCTCGACTATTTATACTATTATGCTTTTCACGTGGCCCTCTGTTTAGCTGACAAACAATGCCATAGGTTAAAGGGGAAGTGCATCGATTTTTCGAGTAGGGTCCAGAAGAAAGACGATTTGATATCAGTTCGAATGGCACATCTCTCGCTTCCATACGATAAGTCAAACTTGCCAAATCGTATACTACTCGCATTGCCATAGCGACCAGCGCAGTGATGACGTATGAAAGGCTTAGCTCAACATGCAGAAATTGGTCATTTTCAATTGGTTTATTGTATTCACGAAGTGAAAGAAGGGCTGTGTTCAGTGCTGTTAGTGCAGTGAACTGTTTGTTAATATTAGTCCTCTCGGTTGTGTACTGGGACGTGACACCGGCAGGAGAAAGCTGGAGTGCGGAGACATCAGCAGACAAGCGAAAATAGTGACGAACAAAATGCTGAAATCTTGCTTGGGACAAATCAGACGTTCAGCATTTACCCCAACCAAGGACCATGCCGTTTGCTCTTTCCACTTCCTGAAGATGGATGTGATGCTTCCTATCTCTCATAACATCTTCTGAAGCCAGGTGAGACGACGGGTGGTGGAGATTGATGAATGAAATAATGTCATAGGTTTGAACGTTTGCTGAAAATGTCTCCGGAGAGAAGGGGAATACCAAGCATCTTCTCCTAGAGGAAAACATTTCCTAGGCACAGTCAGCCTAGGGAAATGCAGGAGAAGGCCGATAAACAGTTCACGGCACTAACAGCATTGAACACAGCACTTCTTTCACATCGTGAATACAATAAGACAATTGAAAATCACCAATTTCTGCAGTGATCGGCCTTCTCTGTGGTGGAGCTAAGCCTTTCATACGTCATCACTGCACTGGTCGCTATGGCAACGTGAGTATACAAGTGGCGATTTGGCAAGTTTGGCTTATTGTATGGAAGCGAGAGATATGCCATTCGAACCGATATCAAATTGTCTATCTTCTGGACAGATATGCCATTCGAACCGATATCAAATTGTCTATCTTCTGGACCCTACTCGAAAAATCGATGCACTTCCCCTTGAAGCTGTACTGCATGCAGTGTGACATCAATTCAGTCCCACGTTTCATACTACAGTATCCGCGGTACGTTTTCAATCTGTACCATCATCTCGGTATTACCCCCCCCCCCCCACCACACACACACACACGCCCCTTGATCACACACCTTAGTCCTAGTCAAGTGATAATACTAGCACTCTTGTCAACTTCTGAGTAGAACCTACTGACACCTTACAATAATACAATTTGGCACACAACTTCTGGCATGATTATTGGAAATATAAATAAAAAAATGTATAGATAATACAATTCTACAGTCCACCAAGCCGCGCGTAACGTGTAGAAGAATACACCAAGCCTGGGCACACCGAAGAGGTCGGGCAGTAATACTCAGTCCCGGACCAAGTTTTACGGCGATAATCATCTCACTGCCGCCGGTATTCAGAAATATAGCGGCAATATTTTTATTGGCTGAAGGCAACAAATATGACCTCAGGAAATCATCAGCTTGAACCAACTACCATCTATATCTAGTTTGCAAAGTGAGGGTATAGAAATAAAAGTAGTAAATGGATCATGGGAATCTCTCTCTATGAGTACACAAAATAAGAAAAGAATGAATCATGTGCTGTGCATGGTTCGAAACTGTTAACTAACTAAACTTAAGTGGTGTGCTTCACTGTCCTGTCTTGTACACAAGAGAGAGTTTGGAAGCTTTGTTACAACTCGTATTACTACGATCATCAGGCAACTTGTTGCCTGATGATCGTAGTAATACGTGAAACTCAGAGTTGTAACAAAGCTTCCAAACTCTCTCTTGCGTAACTAAACTTGGTATGGAGAGAGGAGGTACACGCCAGGTTACGGCTAGAAAGTAATGTGAATTGCCATGTACATTATCAGAATAATAACATGGCACAGAAACGTGAGGAGAAGACTGGAGTAGAGTGGGAAACGTTTTTGGAGCCTGGAGAAGAGTGTGTGTGGGGGGGGGGGGGCAGAAAGGCGCTTGGAAGTAAGAGCAAGGTGTGGGTGGAAGAATGGAGAGAGGTATATTGTCAGAATAATAACATGGGACAAGAATAGGAGGAGAGACTTTTAAAGCAGTAGAGAAAGTCTGGAGGAAAGTAGGGGGGGGGGATCAAAAGAAGGAGAGGAGTAGAGAGGCAAGGACATGGCAGGAGAGAGTGGATAGTAGAGGGGAGGTGGGATTGATCAATGGGGATAAATACAAAATTAGACAGACGGTATACAGTACAGAATTCACTGGGTATAGGGCATGCACAACAAAGCCAGATGCAATGATAGTGCCAAATACCAATGGAGCCCGGCCACCATGACTTAAGTATGGTGGAAATGGGTTAAGAGTACAGGTGACCAACGTGCATTGTACCTGCCGATGCTGCCAGTGCAGTGAAAGCCGAGTTCAGTTGAATATACAATGTCAACTGTAAGCAGAAGAGGAAATGAACAGAGTTTGAATACTGGGACAACTACAGTGCTGCTCAATGAAAACCAATTGTGCGAGTCGAGTACACGATGTGCGCCGTGCACACCTAGACCTGCAAACACTGGTAAGCAAACGAGTGTGGGGCACTCGACTTGTGCAATCGGATTTCGTTGAGCAGCACTGTCCTTCAAAAACATTGTTGCCTGGCATCATATCTGGTAATGCAGACAGCTTGGATTCAGTGAAGGTGATGGCCCGCTGGAGACGGTTTCAAATAGGAAATAGGTTGCAAACCGGAAAGGGTTCAATATTCATTTCCTCTCTTGGTATTTTCATTAGAAGACATAATGTCACAGTGAGACTACAATGTGTTTTACTCCGAGCCCAAATTTCATGGCTCTGCGATGACCAGAAGCGCCATGCCAAGGGGTGAGTTTTTGACGTGTTGCTTCGCACTGAGGCTTGAGTTTTACGTCTTTTTAAAAATCATGGCAACTTCTTGTCGCAGGTAAACCAGCAGCGGCTCGCCTCTCGCCAATAAAGCACCGTCGTATACCAATGAAAACTAATGGAAGCACACACGAGGATTGTTGCACTGTACTGGCCTTCGTGGAGCGGTAGCGATTACTGAGTATCTAATTCCAGAACTCAAGTGAACTTGACGTGCACTCCAAAACCTTTCCGAGTCACCTCAATTTGAAACGAAAAACGGGGCAACTTGGAGGCAACGGGCCAACCCAAAGGAGTGGCTCAGCCTCAGAATCTTCAACATGCCAGTTTCCTTCCACAAACATATTTCGAGTGAACAATCCACGCTGATGATCGGTTTGGGTCTACAAAAGTTTTCTGTCAAACCGTTCCTATTTGAAACCGTCCCTCTACATGTAATGAGTGAATATTGCCCATTTGTCTTAAAAGACCACTGCACAGGTGCCAGGTGAAAAGAGCAAGGTGGAGAATCAATTATTGCTTCAACAGAGAATTTTATATGGCAGAATTATTTTAGATTTTCTTCTCCGGTATGATTTTCCGGCTTGTTTCTCCTTCCTCATGCAGAAACAACCAGAGTTCAGCCATCATGATCAGCAGGTCAAGAAGAAAACACTGCTGAACTGTGATTGGCTGAGGGCGGCTGTTTCCCCATATGTGGAAGATAAGCACAGCTATTCAGAGCGCATTCATGTCAGTTCAACCTAAGAGTAATGGCATTATTATGCCATGCAATGCAACCAAGCACTAAAAATCAAGATCTTGCCAAATCTAACTGGACACCACCACCCAATTCCATCCCTATGGAACTCATTGAGTTCAGCTCAGCATGGACATTGACACTACTCTACAACACTATCAACCCAAACCCATTAAAAACAATCTCACACCACCCGAACTAAAAGCCCTCAATACTCTTCGTAACTCTAATCTTGTGGTATGTAGAGCGGATAAAGGTTCCACTACTGTTGTTATGACAACAGACAACTACAAAACCCTATGTTTGGAACACCTTCTAAATAAGGACACATATGAGATCGTTGATTCCATCCCGGATACCCAACCGGCCCTCGAAGCAGCCTTGCTTCCTAACGAGGATGATTTACATAAACGTCTCACTAAACAGCTCCGCACGCCCGGTACCCGTACTCCTAACTTCTACGGCCTACCTAAACTCCACAAGAACCCACTCAAAATTCGACCTATTGTATCTTCCATCCTATCACCCACTTACTATTGGGCCCTCTTTATCCACTTCACCCTCTGGCCCACAATTATTAAACACCCATCCACACTTATTAATTCCACGGATCTACTCACCAACACACGGAACCTGCCTCTAACACACAATTCAATACTTATACCATGGACACATTCATGGTCTCCAAGCCCTTGCCTGGCACCTCCGTCAGCAAGACATACCCGGTCCGTGGCGAGTAGTTGTAATTAAAATCATTCGTATAATTCTTATGAATAATTACTTTATGTTTAATGGTTCCACCTACCACCAACTCCAGGGCACAGCAATGGGTAGCCCAGCAGCAGTGGCTTACGCCAACATTTGTTATGTTTCGGATGTTTCGGATGGAGAAATACCACCTAACGACCTTCTTTGCCTCCTCTCTTCTGGCAAAAAGATACATTGATGACCTATTCGCCATCACAATAAAGGAACGGATTAAGCAAATAGTTGATGAACCCATCCGAACTAATTGTCCGGTTAGGTTCACACATGAAACGAGTAAGATAGAAATTATTATGCTCGATCTCAAACTTAGTATCCATAATAACGCAATTGAATCCAAAATCAACTTTAAACGAAACAAATTTCAATATATCTCCCCGGCTAGATCATCCCACCCCTCCCATACTTGGAAGGCAGTGGCACTTGGAGAGATGATCAGAGCGGGTAGAGGATCTACGAATGAAGCCACTTCTTTAGGTACTCGTTCTTTTTTAGCAGCTAAACTAATCGAACGTGGTTACTCCAGGTCAGTAGTTAGCGCAGCTCTCTCCTCTACACACCGCAAATGACCCACTCACTCTTAAAACAACACCACACCGCCACTCATACTCCCCTATCATCCAGGTCTTACAGATCTAAACAAGGTGTTAAAAACCCTGTGGACTAAACACAGACTTGACACCATCCTAGGCCAGGCACCATTTATCGCCTGGAAAAAGACGAAAAGCCTGGCTAGCCATCTCAAACACAAACATGTCTGAGAATCGCACCTACCCAGCTGTCTTTTTTTACACCCCTTGTTGTTTTCACCCACACACCAAAATTATATTGATAAGAGACTGCTCCACCACTTTAGACTCCATTGGTCTGATGAGGTACTCCTTTAATAGTACCGAAATAAGCTTATAACCACATCTTCCTTGGACAGTCTCACCTTTTTTCACAATTCACATTTTATCCACCTTCACCATTGCGTTCACTTTTTCCACCATTGCGTTCAAATTTTCTCTTGCATTGCTTTGTGTTTCTATATTATCCACCGCACCTTCTTTTTACATTGCTTTGCATTTTCCACACATTCTTTCTGCGTTGTGCCGCCCTATTGCCGCTCTGCTTGCAGAACCTTCTAACCCTAGGACAGTTGGGTGGACTGAAATGCACAGCATGCAACTGTACTAAGTTGGGATATCACTTTCAATACTTTCTTCCAATCCACATCATTTTGAAAGGACCTTGCACTGAATGATGTTGCTTACCTTAGCTCAGGATGACGGAGGATTGTCCAAGTGTCCCGATGGTTTGGAAAGGAACACCCATGTTGGCAGTAAATGCAAGCAAACGTGGATAGAAGAATGCAACAACCACCCCGGCATGCACGGACAACACAAAAACCACACTGACACACACACACACACACACACACACATACATACACACAAACATACATCAAGCACACAGAACCACGATGAGCAGAGGAACAAATGCAGCCACAACTACAGTGCTGCATTTGTCACTGGCTCGGGTTTTCCTTGTACCACTTTGCAGCTCAGTGTTCGTAGGTCTAGGGCTGTGCAACGCCTGGCGCGTACTTGAGTGACGCGACTGGATTTCATAGAGTAGCACTGTACATGTGGTCTGACAAGAACATTGTTGCAATTTTTATGAACAGCAAGTTTACAACAGAACATTAATACAACATAGTAAAATCTTTTTAAAAAGCTCTTGTAGTTCTTACCGCATTCCTGTTACTGATTATGATTTCGGCCGTTAGCTTTAACCTGAGGACATAATATGTGTGCAAATTCACGCATAAAATGACACAGCCACCAGAAGTTGCATACACTGGCACATAATCAGAGAAAGCAAGATAGAGGAGACTCAGTCAGATACCACTCACACGGCAGTACTCTACTAGCTAGCGGGTAGGATGGGGTGCAAACAGAAGGAGAACATACAGTTGCATTGCATGGCATAATAATGCCATTACTCTTAGGTTGAACTGACATGAATGCGCTCTGAATAGCTGTGCTTATCTTCCACATATGGGGATACAGACTTTGTTCAGTCCAGCGAGGAATCCACGTTGGTAAATCAGTAACACAAAGCAAACATGCACGCCAAACACACCCACACCCACATCCACACCCACACCCACACACACACACACACACAAACACACACACACACACACACACAGTTACTGGTTCCCATCCAAACGCACACCTCAGTTTTTGTGTCACGGTAACACACCATATCTTGTAGGGCTGCATGTCAACTACGTGCAATTCTATTGTCATGGGCCACATATAAGGCATGGCATGTTGCTTGTATCAAGAGTATATAACCCCCCCCCCCCCTCCCCCCAAGAGTGTGCAACTCTTGATACCCTTTCTATGGGGTACACCGACGGCGAAAACTCACATCACGTGGTGCAGTGTCTCAGTTGTACGTTTCCAGCCCGTTTTTAGCGAGCAGCGGAGTAATAAAAAAAAGCACTCTCTGACAGAAACTCACTGCGCGTATGCAAATCCCCAGCATGATCATGGCGGATTGCGCGCACGCTATCCTTCGTTTGTACGTAGTACGAACATATCTGAGACACGTGATGTGAGTTTTCGCCGTCGGAGCCATATGCAGAGTTGCACACTCTTGGGGGGTTATATACTCTTGCTTGTATGGTGTGAGTGCACTCCGGGTATAAAAAAAACTTCGGCTATAGAGAACTGCTACTTCTCTTGCACAATGGTTTCGTTATATCAGGAGACGAGAGTGTATATACAGAGAATAAACGTCATCACGGCAACTTTCTTACCATGCAAGTGTCAGGCAGAAGGAATCTTGGTGTGTGCTGCACATACACATAATTATACCCTCATGGCCAGATAGCAGAAACACACACACACACAGACATACAGAGACGCACAGAGACGCACAGATACACATACACACAGACATACATACAGACACACACAGACATACAGAGATACACAGACATACATGCACACATACATACATACATTAGCAGAGACACACAGACAGACATACACACACGCGCACACGGAAAGCGATTAGGATTTCGTGTCACCTAAAAACACTCGTATACACACTCATTCAGTGATGACATGCCATAGGAAGGAGACGGAAGATAGGTCAAGGAGGAATGATTGACTTCTTTCTACAGTTTGATAGATTGGTCTCAGCTTAAACTCACATCACGCTAATGCTGAACAGGTCATCACATCACTGCCCAGGCACAACGTTCCTTCTACCCAAGCATCTTCAAATCCACCATGGAGTACGCTAGTAGCTGCTACGATCACACCATATCAGCAACCCGATACAACAAACTCATTCGATGCTTCAAGCGTAGCCTGAGGCTATTTGGCTACCCACCATGCCACCCAACAGCCATCATTTGTCACCGCCACAAGCCGAGCTATTTGTACTTACATCGAATAGCAACCATACGGATGCCTTGACCAGGGGACAGTCAGCCCTTGATTTAGCCCTATCTAATGCCTCTTCACGGTATGGTTTCTACGCTTTACCCTATCAGGCCGCTGACAGGTGGAATTCGCTTCCAGCAGCATGCTGCCAGGCAGCCTCCTTTGCCATATTTAATGGTGAAGTAAAGGTTAAAATCAATTTTTCACCAGTTGTAGCCTTCGGGGTGCTGAGTCGAGTGGTCTTGGTCCGAGAAGCCGAGACGCTCCCTTCCTCCTTTATTCCCAATCGAACTCGCCACTTCCACCGAAACTGGGTGACTGCGCCCTACTACATGGGGATTTGCATGCAAAATGTCACTAAAAGAGCCATTTCATTCTTATAACAGCACGGATGACCGCGATTGGCCCATATGTTCTAGTCTTTTGGACGCCGAGTCGACTGGTTTTGTTACGAGAAGGCTGCGATGCAGCGTTCGGCCCTTATTCCCAAAAGAACATGGTTGAATAGATGGTCCACTCGCTCATGCGTACACCAGTCACCGTGCCTGCAGGCTTCAACTCAATTTGAACTATCGCACAGGTTTTAAACTCGAGTGACAGGAAGTCGCCCTAACAGGCTGTAAGTTGTACCATGCAGGCACGGTGACCAGGTGACTGCATCCAGAGCGCGGCACTGTGCCACCAACCAGACAGGACAGGGCCAAACCGCAAAGTATGCACAGCAAGCAAGCTCAACCAGGGCCCAAGGTCTGTCATGCTCAAATGTGCCCAGCATGGACCAAGGGCTATAATGGCCGATTTGCCAGCTGGAAGAAGGACTGGCGGACTGCGCGAGCCCAGAAGGAAGCAAACTATTCGAATCTACTCCACATGCCACAAGAAAAGTAATAAAAAGGTTTGAAACCGATTGAATTGAACACTTGAGTAGAAAATTAGAGAGTAATGGAGGAGCAAAAAGCCCAACCGCCCAGTTCGAGTGTCTTGCTACTCTCACACTCACACTGGATGACTATTGCCCTTACCAGTGCAGTGTTGCGATTCACTTGCCCAGATGCGTCATATCAAAGCAGCCAGGTGATAAACACAAGCAAATGCACCCAAACACACAACCAGGTGATAAACAGAAGCAAATGCACCAAACACACAGCCATGCAGACACCACATCCAGCACATGCACAGTCGCACTGCACACAGCGCCCAACAACCATAAGTACCGTTAGACAAGCGCTCTGCTGCTAAGTACTCATAGTGGTCACTGGAGTGGCTCTATCAAATCAGAGAACTTTCCATTGGCAGCAGCTTATTGTCAGTTATCCTGGTAATGGTGTGGCAAAAATGAAGTGAACTGGATATTGACCATGGATTCCTTACTATTTTGATCCTCGAACTCAGCATTGACATCATTCTGTACAAAATAATGATGCATGTATGTTGTATCTCTACACATTTGTGGCCACCAGGAGTAGACGCATACACATCGCACATTCCACGAGAAGAAAGAAGAGGCCGGGAAACTTACATTAGCATCTTGGTTTGCATACAACCATTTTGATGGAGGAGAAAAAAAGAGGAGAAGGTGAAGGAGGAAGAGGAGGGAGTTAAGATAAGTATAATAATAGCAGTTGAATGCCTTGGCACATTGTACGTTGTACACTGGAAATAGATGTGTGCTCTCTATATCAGTACAATATGCAGCAGCTTACCTTTTTGTCCAACTTCACTTGAACGCGTCACAGTGAATGTTTAGTTCATGCAGGCCACACAACAATCAGCTGGAGTATACAGAAGCAAAAAAATGACCGTTCGTGTCAGACTCGGCTAGAGGCCGAGTTTTCCGCATCCGTAGGAACGCCACCACCGTTCAAGGATCCAGGTGCAGATGCAGCTCCTATAGCGGTGGGAGGTGAGTAGATCAGCTCACCAGCAAGTAGTCAAAGACCGAAAATCCCATTAACTGCATCCATGTTTTCCTCGTGCCAGGCCACAAGTTCCCAATTAACTGTGGGTCGCAGCACGGCTGGAAAAATCCTTCCGCTTCTAAGCAGGACTTGAACCTGGTACCCTCTGTTTCTCAATCATGGTCCTAGACCATTCCTCTATGCCTGCCTACAGAAGCAATGAGGTGTGAATATTGTTGGATTCATTAATGCGTTTAACAAGCCAAAATTAGTGTTAAGCATTACGATATGCTGTTGTGCACCTCAGTGATGGCAGATCCATTGAATATGGCCAAATTCACCTCCTGGCAAATTTCGAACAGTGCACAAGTGTAGTCCTTGATGGCGTGGAACAAAGCATCAGTACACACTATGGGCATGCCACAGTAACCTAGGCCCTGGTCGACACCATCCCAAGAGGTACTGCCAGTTAAACAATCCCCCCCCGCACGTGCGCACACCTATCCCACAAACTCATAATACAGCTAACCAATAGTTGTCAAGCGAGCTGACGCTGATGACCATGGCCGATGACCATGGCCGATGACCATGGCCGATGACCATGGCCGATGACCATGGCCGATGACCATGGCTGATGACCATGGCTGATGACCATGGCTGATGACCATGGCCGATGACCATGGCCGATGACCATGGCCGATGACCATGGCCGATGACCATGGCTGATGACCATGGCTGATGACCATGGCTGATGACCATGGCTGATGACCATGGCTAATGACCATGGCTGATGACCATGGCTGATGACCATGGCTAATGACCATGGCTGATGACCATGGCTGATGACCATGGCTGATGACCATGGCTGATGACCATGGCTGATGACCATGGCTAATGACCATGGCTGATGACCATGGCTGATGACCATGGCTGATGCAAGCTTGCATGTAGTAAGTTTTCCTGCATGTTTGAAGAAACATTGGAGTGTGATAAACACACTGTGCACATGCAGTTTTACACACACAGACACAGTGATGGTCTGACACACACACACACACACACACACACACACACACACACACACACACACACACACACACACACATGCATGCACACACACACACATGCATGCACACACACACACACACACACACACACACACACACACACGCATGCATGCACGCACGCACGCACGCACACACACACACACACCATTGGACCATTGGACGCCCATCGCCGGAGGCGATGATAGCGATGCTACAGCCATAGCAACTTGTGCTGGGATTGCACCATTCAACAGCTTGCAAGGCTGAAGAATTGACCGCCACTATCTAGCCTGGTCTATACCACACAGCTATGAAGTGGCTTTTTCTGGCCAGTGAATCCCTACTTTTTGGTCTTTTTTATTATGCACACACACACACACACACACACACACACACACACACACACACACACACACACACACACACACACACACACTTGTACTTGTTGCTCACTGCCAAAACTGGTTACGTGGGTCTCCCCGGGAGAGGGGAGAGAGACTCAAAAGGAATCTTGGAAAAATTGGCTATTGAACCGCCCAATGGCCGACACCCCCTGAAATCCCCAAAACGCTGGGTGGACTTGAAAATGATCCCACTTATGGGCTCACCGCACCTCAGTAAGTGGGTGAGGACAAGGTGCAGAAAAAGGATTGACGGCATCAGGGTATCCGTCCTGGGATCCAACTGCAGTTACCCCTTCCCCCAGTGAAAGGTAATACTTGCTACTAGTGCGGGTGGCTAAATCAGGCTGGATCTGATTTAGACATCACAAACACCATCGATTACACAAGAGTTAATCTAGCCAGAAGCAGTCCATGGTTAACAGGTATGTATACTTCAAAGAAAGTATATGAACCCTGGAACCAACAAAGTTGGCAAGTACAACATTACACCTTCAAGCAGCCGAGCCCGTTGGCAACAGACCCAACACAATCAGGCATAAGTGTACCCACCAACCGAACTAGCTGGCACACACACACACACACCTGTCCTGTCCTGTTGAGCCACTGCCATGAAGGTTACGTGGGCCCCGAAGGGGCAGCTGAGTGAGAGGAGAGGAGGAGCACACAGCCCTGTGACGATCCAGGTGATGCGGTAAGCGAAATCGGCGGGAGCAGGCGCAACACCCGTGAAACCCTGACGGTCCTAAACGGTCGGACGACTACAAGTCCGTGAGCAGCGATGACGGGCGCGGCCACGTGTAGACGCAAAGCAGCGGTCACAAGCCTGGCAGTGAGCGACGCAGCACAGCGGAGAAGCAGGCAGCGGCAGTGGCGCACCAACTGCTGACTGGGGGTAAGTACACTTGTGCCTTGCCAGACCTCCACGGGACTTCAGCCAACGGCCACACTCTCCACACTGGCATGCACCTTTCTGCTCCGCAACCGGCTTCGCACGCTCAGCCTTACACTTGTGGCGTGCGCGATCACTGGAGCGTGCAAACTGTCGGTCGCAGGTGTAGCAGGTGACGGGAGGGGGATGCTGGGCATCTACCGGTGATGAGTACGCCGAGCGCCAGGTGGAACGCGACTCGCATTCAACTCGCCAATCCCCCTCGAGGCCGCGAGAACGAAGGTCAGACATGATACAATCCTTCCAGCGCCGACGAGGGCCATGAGCTGGGCGACGCGACGGAAGCGTGCCAAAGAGAACTTGCTTCGGCAGCCGGTGGTCCTCCATCCGAGCAACATGCCCGAGTCATTCAAGGCGGCGGTGCTCCACCTTCGTGCGGATGGTGTCGGGATCACCCCACCTTACACGTAGTTGGTGATTGGTGATGTGGTCATCCCAGCATTCTTGGCGAGACACTCCCATGATTGAGCGGATGCATCGGTGGTGGAAGACAGAGAGCCCACACACACACACACACACACACACACACACACACACACACACACACACACACACACACACACACACACACACACACACACACCGCACAATTGCCAAGATCTCCAGGTGCCAGAGGTGCCACATTGAGGTAGGAAAACAGGGTGCAAGACCCCGACAAGCTAGCATGCATATCTTGGTAGTGGGAGGAATAGCATGTTACAGAATTATACCGTGAATTGGAACCTAAACAGAAAGTATGCATACCAGAACAAATCGAAACCCGTCACTTAAACAAGGACACAATCCGAACAATACAACCAGGTCATTGTGCAGTATCCTATTTATAGTGAGGATATGGTCGGAACCAGATTCAGCCCATTTTTCTCGGCCAGGAATCAGTAAACTGATGAAAGCCGGATCATCCAGATTGCGATGTGGTGGAGCATTACGTACCGCAGGGGACACACAAACCAACTCAAAAGCCATACGCAATAAGAATTTATTTCCTAAAAAGCATGTACGTGATACCAAATCAAATGCATACAAGTGGGCCAAGCTGTACTTGATCTGTGTCAATATCCTGCATGGGACAACATACAAATCACACATAGACACAAACAAGTTAGACATCATAGAATTGGAAACGAGAAAGTAGAACTTGAAAACAAGTTTAGCAAATGAGCCTCAAGGGAAGTCTTCAAAAATTCCTGTTCATCTTTGGGCTTGTCCAAAAAAGAAAAAGAAGAAAAGAACATAGATGTCCTTCCACCTCAACAAAACGGCACCCTTGCTACATCAATCTCGATCCATTCATCTCCATATCTCACAGGTTTCAAACATCACGGGAGAGTTATCGTCAACACACTTCTCAGCAAAATGTGGCGCAATGCGAGTTTGTGGCGCAACTGTGGTGTTTGGTTTCCCTAGTCAACCCGGTTGCCTTTCGTGCACTACTAGCAGCACCCCAGGCCAGCGTTGCCTGGCCGAATGTGGCATGCGGGTGAAGCAAGTACATGAACAGCACACTTGCTCAGCACGTGGTGGTGGCCAGGCCGCTGAAGTCCTGGTTAAGGAAGGTTCTTCATGGTTGGAAGGAGAAGGAGGGACGTCTGTTACGCCTTCGGGAGGCTGGTCAGGGTTGTCCATCACCTGGTGGCGGATGAAGCGGCTCAAAAAATTCATTAACTCACGAACAAAAGTGCGATGCGCTCTTCACTGCAGATCAGATGCAGAGTGCAGTCAGTGCAGATCTTTTGTATCCTTTTGTTGCAGATGTTTCTATTTGCAGAGAACGGTTCACGTGGTCCGCAGCGCTTGTGCGGCTGCTAGTGCTACCTAGTACCTAGGCTAGGTGGCTACATGATTCGCACGCTTCGCGTGCTCAGTGCTTCTGCGCGCGGCTGCTACTGCTACTCGTACTGATCGTGTCTGCTACCACCTACACTGTTCGCACGCTTCGCGTGCTCAGCACGTGGTGGTGGCTACACGATTCGCACGCTTCGCGTGCTCAGTGCTTCTGTGGCTGCTTCCGCGATCCGCTAGCTACACGATTCGCACGCTTCGCGTGCTCAGTGCTTCTGCGGCCGCTAGCTACACTGTGCTACACTGTTCGCACGCTTCGCGTGCTCAGGGCAGCGCTGCTCCGCAGCGCTTCAGCGTGACACAAAAACACACGTCACAGGTGCCTCTTCTTTATAAGGAGCGTGACACACACACACACAGACACACGTCACAGGTGCCTCTTCTTTATAAGTAAAGATAGGGAAAAGGAAGGTTGAGGGGCAAGTGAATATAGAAAGCATGCAGGGTACGGCCTGACTTACTATACACACATGCACACACCAGAGCGCACAGTTTCGGGCAACAGTAGCAAATGTTACCTAAAGGCATCATTTTTGCAGTAGACAGAGGAACGTAAAGAGAACGGATTGAAGAGCAGTGGATAACCAACACAATGATGTCATAAGATGAAGTACACCATGATGCATCCACATATGCACAGTTTGCTATTCCAACCCACAGTTACCCAGGACTGAGCAGCATGTCGAGATGGGCGCTAATGGAACCCTCTACCCTGCCCATTCCCCAAGCTGTACTAAGTACAGACCACACGCAGACAATGAACACAGTCGACCAAAGCCGATCAAGAGCAGACTGAAGTTTATTCAAGAAAGAGAGAAGACAGATGGCAAGACTATTCGCAATCCTGCCCGAGCTCACCATGCCCCGTTCACACACGCACCCGACATGCACTCTTTCCCACAGTCATGGAATGGTACATCTCAAAGTTACCCCGGCCCCAGCACACACAACAGAAGCCGTCCCACGCAATGTTCATCTGGAGAGTTTATTGTGGCACAACAGTAGCTCACCATGCGCCCTCACAAACCATGCACACGCACCTAGGCTAGGTATGCACGAACCATGCGCCCTCACAAACCATGCACACGCACCTAGGCTAGGCATGCACGATTCACTATCAGTCACTCTACCCCATACCCATGACACATGACACATGACACATGGCTCAGCTGAACGGCCTGGGATTACACTGCATGACTAGCTACACTCCTCACAGCTGATCAGCACAGCCATGCATCACACCCAGCACTCAACACGAGAGCGTGGGTTCATTCACTCAACATTGGAAGCCATACAGCACACGCCTGTGTCACAACACACAAGTCCTCCCTATCGAAGCATGTGCACGACTTACACATGGCTTCAAAGGGAGGAGGAGAGAAAGACAGGGAAGGACGCAAAGAGTAAAAGACGGTGGACCACAATGGCTCACCAGATCACACCGACGCACAGGACGCAGCTATTGTGCAAACTCGCAACGATGACCTGCAGGGACCTACACTGCTGACCTTGGTGAAGACGCCTCAGATGTTATAATGAAAAGGAAATGAGAAGTGTTCTATTGTCATTGTGCCTATTCTATGCCTTACTCAGTGCATGTTGTTCTATACTCCAGTATGTTGTCTTCAAGAAAAGAAAGATTGTTGTGGAATCATAGGAAA